CTAGGTGGGTTAAATCTTGGACCTCCAGGCAGCTTGCTCAGGTGCCAGCAGGTGGTCAAATCCTTGGGCTGCTGGGCAATGTGTGTGGTATAGGCAATGGCAGTAGAAGTGGTGGGACAACCCTAGGGCTCCCAGATTGCATGTGCTGGCATTCTTGGTGGTGGCGATAGGCTGAGTGGGTCAGTCCCCAGACCCAGGTGACATGTGCAAGTGGGTGCCAGCAATAGTGTTGACATCAGGCTGGGTGGACATGTCCTCAGGCTCAGCAGGAGTGCACAGATGTCAGCAGTGGTGAATGGCGCGGAGTCATCACCAGGCCCCCAGATGACACACTCAGGAGCTGGGGATGGGGAGCACCAGGCAGTGTGGGCTTGCCTTCCGGTCCCCAGATGGTCACATGAGCATAACCTACGGTGGGTGGGGCAAGGCAATCCCTATGCCACGAGTCAGTGCTTGGGTGCTGGCAGCAGGTATTCTGGGTCTGTTGTTAGGCCCCTGATGGTGTGCGAGTCGGCCGGGGGCAACTGATAGAGTGGGGCATTTCCTAGGCCCCTGGATGCTGTGCTTGGGTACTGAGAGGAGTGGTGGCAGATAGGATAGTCCTATCTCTTGTCCCCCAGTGGTGTGCACAGGTACAGGCTGTGTTGGCTGAGGCAGGGCAACTCCCACACCCCTTGGCAGTGTGTTCCGGCACTAATGGTGACAGTGGATGGGGCAGTCTGTTCTCAGGGCACATGCAAGTGCATAGCAGCCCTGTTGCTGGGCAAAATCACTGTTAGTGGCAGCAACCTAAGCAGGTGGCTCTCAGGCTCTGAGGAACTCACATTTCATCTCCTTTTGTCCCCAAAGCAGTTTCCTGGTGTGCGGCATCACCTGTTCCCTGGGGTATAGGACACTGTATGGGCTAGAGCACTGGGAACCCAGCTGCATTGTTGGGACCAATTGGCATTGTGCTGCTGCAGTCCTCTGGATAGACACAAGGGGTGTCAGTGGGGCCCCAGGGATATGGAGATGCAGGGACTATTGGACCCCAGGGCAGGATGCAGTCTGGTGGGGACTGGGCTCTCAAAATGGTACTGTGCTGTAGCTGCTTGGAATTGGGGATGTATGGAACTCAGTGTGAGCTCCCTCTCTGGAACAGTGCCATCCCACAGATACTAGACAGCTCCCTATACTAGTGTCAGGGTCCACAAGGGTTAGGGACTCTTTCATGGCTCAAACTGCAGGAGTCCATGGTGGGGATGTGGACTGCTAGGGATCTCTCACTTACTAGTCTTCCTTCAATGTGATAGGCAAAATAAATAAATAAAAAGCATATAGGCTGGGCATGGCGGCTCAAGCCTGTAATCCCAGTACTTTGGGAGATGAAGGTGAGGGGATTGCCTGAGCCTATGGGTTTGAGAACAGCCTGGGAAACTTGGTGAGACCGTATCTCTACAATAAACCAAAAAATTAGCCAGGCATGGTAGTGCACGCTTGTAGTCCTGGCTACTTGGAAGGCTGAGGCAGAAGGATCGCCTGAACCCAGCAGGTCGACGCTGGGGTAGCCGTGAGCATACCACTGCTCTCCAGCCTAGGCGATGGAGTGAGACTCTAACTCAAAAAGACAAAACAAAACAAAACAAAAACAAAGCACAGCATACAGATTGCAAAGAAGAAATAAAAGTATTTTAATATGAAGACAAAATAATCCTATAGCCAGGCACAGTAACTCACGGCTGTAATCCTAGTACTTTGGGAGGCAAAGGCAGGAGGATTACCTAAGCCCAGGGGTTCAAGACCAGACGGAGCAACATGGTGAGACCCCATCTCTACAATAAATAAAAAAATTAGCTGGGTGTGGTGGCACACACCTATCGTCTCAGCTACCCACAGGGTTAAAGCAGAATGACTGACAGAGTCCAGCAGGGCGAGGGTGTGGTAGCCCTGAGTGTATCGCTGTACTCCAGCCTGGTGACAGAGTGAGATTCCAATTCAAAAAAAAAAAAAAAAAGGATCCTATAATTGTCTAGGATTAACTAAAAAGCCACAAAAACTAATAAAAGTGAGCTCAGCAAGGTCACAAAATAAGAGGTCAATATGTGAAAATCACTAATAATTCTGTATTTAGCAATGAAAAATTAGAAATTTAAATTTTTAAAAATACCATTTACAAGAGCATTAACAAACATAAAATACTTATGAATAAATCTAACAAAATGTATTTAAGAAAACTAGAAAACAGTGAGGAGAAACTGCACAAGACCCATATTAAAGGAGAGAGAGACTCTTTTCATGAATCAGAAGACTAAATATTATTAAGAAGTCAATTATTCCAAATTAATCTATAGATCCAACACAACTCCAATAAAAATTGCACATACTTGTCAAGTTGATTCTAAAATACAAATGGAAAAGCAAAGAACCTATAAAAGACAAAGCAATTTGAAAAAGAATAAAGCAGGGTAAACACTATGTAATTTCAAGAGTTATGATATAACTACAGTAATCAAGCCACTATAGTATAAGGTTAGATTAATTGATCAATGAAGCAGAGAGTTCAGAAATAGACCAACATATATATAGCCAACCAATTTTTCATAAAGGTGCCAAGGAAATTTAATGAGGGGCAAAACAGTCTTTCCAAAAAAGAGTGCTAGAACAATTGAAAATCCATTTGCAAAAAGACAAACCAAAACAAAAATTAAAAAAAAAAAACCTGAACTTTCTCCCTTACTTTTTTCCACATAAAGAAAGGAATTCAAAATAGTTCATAGACCTACATATACAGTAATGCATCACTAACTGATAGGGATTGTTTTGAGAAATAAAATTGTACTGTTAGGCAATTGATCGTTATGGGAGCATCATAGACTGTACTTACACAAACCTACATGGTATATATATTTTATTTACTCATATTTTTTCATATGAAAAACCAAATGTCCCAGCACCATTACTGTTCAATCTGCAATGTCAATATCAAGTGCCATGATTAGGTTTCTGTATATGCTCCATTATAATCTTAAGGGACCACCATTGTATATGTGGCCTGTCATTGACCAAAAAGTCATTATGTAGCACATGACTGTATAAACTAAAGATATGGCACTTTTAGAAGAAAACATAAGAGAATAAATTATGAACTTTGGGAGGTAGAGGCAGGAGGATTGCCTGAGCCCAGGGGTTCAAGACCAGCCTGAGTAACATGGTGAGACCTTGTCTCTACAATAAATAAAAAAATTAGCTGGGTGTGGTGGTGCACACCTATAGTCTCAGTTACTCATGGGGTTAAAGAAGGACTGCCAGAATGCAGCAGGGCGAGGGTGTGGTAGCTGTGAGTGTACTCCAACCTGGGTAACAGAGTGAGACTCCAACTCAAAACAAACAAACAAATAAACAAAAGATCCTGCAATCTTCTAGAATTAACTAAAAAGTCACAAAAACTAATAAGCAAGGTCACAAAATAAGAGGCTAATATGTGAAAGCTACTAATAATGATTCAAAATTGAAAACTTCTGTTCTTCGAAAGATAATGTTAAGAAAATAAAAATGGAATACACAGACTTGGAGGAAATATTTGTAAAAGACACATATATGTTAGATAACTTGTTTCCAAAATATATAGTTCTAACAACACAATATAAATTAAGCTAAATATAAACAGATACTTTATAAAAGAAAATAAACAGCTAAAAAGCACATAAAATATGCTCAATATTATTAGTCATTGGGAAAAGGCAAATTATAACCTCAGAGAGATACCATACTCACTCACAACAATGGCTAAAATTAAAAAGATGTCAATACCAAGTGCTAACAAAGATCTGGAACAACTGGAATTCTCATACAATGCCAGTAGAAATGTAAAATGATATATCTACTATGAAAAACAAGTTGGCAGTTTTCAGTGAAGCTAAATCTACACTATTCTTATGGCCCAGCTGTCCTATTACCAGGTATTTGCCCAAAGAAAATGAAAATATATGTCTACATAAAGTCTTATATATGAATGATCATATCACTTTTATTCATAATAGTCCAAATTGGGACGATCCTGAGTGTCCATTAACTAGTGAAGGAATAAAGAAACAATGATATTTCCATATGTGGAGGATATAATAAGCAATAAAATGGAAAAAAGTAATGATATATGCAACAACTTGAATCAGTCAGACACAAGGCTACATGCTATGATTCCATTTTTGTGACAGTCTAAAAAATGTAAAACTGTAGTGATAGAAAGCAAGTCTGTGATCAACAAGGTATGGGGTGAGTGGGAAGGAACTGGCCACAAAGGTACATGATGAAATTTTTTGGCATGATAGAAATATCTGTATCTTCACCACAGTAGTAGTTACTTAATGATTTACATTTGTCAAGCCTCATCCAACAATACATTTTTAAAGGATAAATTTCACTTGATGTAATATACCTTAACAATCCTCGTTTTAGAAAATTATGTTATAAAAAATCCCAGATTTGAAATGGATGACACTCTTTAGTTTTAACAAGTTTTACCATGCAGGTAAAAGCTACAACCAATGTATGACGAGCTTACTTGATAGTCACACTAAGATTTAAACTCTAAAACTCTCTATATTTCACTTTTAGACAAGCAAAATGTGAGCACATACACCTCTAAAGGGTACTAGAAACAGAATACCAGTGGAAGATAACTGACTTAAATTAAAGAAAAAAAAAAGATTATTTGCAGTAATTATGTAGTGAGATCATGGGAAAAGCTGATAGTAAAGATGAATATATATAAATATGCCCTTTAAATGAGAAAGTGTAAAATATATGATACTTTTTCACCAAAGTATACCTGTATATTGGAAAAGATCAATATGGGGTAGATATAACATTGTTTACTTTCAATAAGCCTAAAGTTTTCCATAATAAAGAATTTTTGAAACGGCACAGAAATGTTGCAGTATGTAAATAACTTGCTTAATTAAAAACATTAAAATACATTGGATAATTTGAAGACAAATACATGATGGCGCAGCAATGAGTACCTTGGCAATAGCAGTTTGTTTAAACATGTGAGTAATCAACCCCATGACAGTCTCTGTGGCACCTGAATTTGGAGCTCTCATCAATTTTTCCCATTCTTCAAAGCTAGCATTCAACTCCTATGTGGGAGGAAATAACATTGTTTAGGAATATGGCATAAAGGGCAGAACAATTAATGCAATCACGAATTAAGTTCTATTTTTTTTTCTTTTCTGGTTAAAACGATATAAAAAGAGGACAGGTTTGGTGGCTCAGTCCGTAATCCCAGCACTTTGGGAGGCTGAGGCGAGTAAATTGCCTGAGCACGTGGGTTCGAGACCAGCCCGGGCAGCTTGATGAGACCTTGTCTCTACAATAAATAAAAAAAAATTAGCCGGGCTCAGTGCCTCAGCCTGTAACCCCGCGCCTTTGGGAGGCTAAGGTGAGTGGATTGCCTGAGCCCGCGGGTTCGAGACCCGCCTGGGCAGCGAG